TTGGGTTAATTTAATACTCATTTATGTTTGATTGTCTTAAATAAACTTTTTACTTAATTAACTAATGTATATTTGATTTTGTTGTTGAATTAAACAAAAAAAAAGTGAATGCATATTGGGCTCTTTAGCTGTGAACCTTAAAAAAAGAAAAGAAAAGAAATTCTATTGAATCAAGTTGGGTTGGAAAAAGCCCAAACTCATTAGGGATGGGTAGGTAATCCCCCATAGAAGATGGGGGTGAGGAATGAAAAAAATTAATAATAAAAGAATAAGAATTGAAAATTAATATTAGCCTCATTGTTGTCCATTACTATCCCTAATTAGAGTGTGTGGTGCGGTTTGGATGATTTTAGAGTAAAATTACAAATTAAATGGCGAGTTAGCGGATTGATAAATTGCAATTTAGACGATTTTTTGGCGGATTAAAGAATATTTTAATTAATTATCATACATTTGCATAATAATATGTTTCATATATATAATTACTAATTTGTAATAAATTTTATATCTTAAATCTCTCTCACACTCATTTTTACATTGATATTTTATTAAAAATTAAAAAATATATTAATTATAGCGGAACAGAATGGTTCGATTGACGGATTATAAATTTTAAAGTTTGATCCGCGATTAGCGATTAGAGTAGTATAAATTAATACAGATCAATATAATAAATTAATACAGATCAATATAATTTTAACAAATTGACCTATATTTTACACAATTCTACCCCTAATGAGATGGGGGATGCAGATGATGCGGAGCGTTTAACGAGGGTCGGATCAGAGGTGGGGTGAGGCAGAAATGGGATGGGATGTGATGTGATGAGATGGGGTGGGTAGACCCAACTTATACCATACTAGTAAATATTCGAGCTAACAGGTGGAGACTTGGATATTAGAGGACGATTGGCGTTAGGGGTGAGCAGCGGATATACCGATTCGCCAAAACCGACTGAACCGAACCAATCCGCCGCATTTTGGACGGATGCGTGATGACGAGCGGACGGTTGCGGATTGATTTTTTTTAATCCGCCAATCTGGCGGACGGATGACGGATTTGAGATTTCTTTGGCCGCAACCGAACCGCCAAACCGCGAGCACCCCTAATAATTTATAAGATTTTGTGTTTTCAGTTTGTTTAAATATTTTGTTTGTATTTTCAATTAAACAAGAGTTCAAATATTCGGTTGAAAAAAAGTTTTCAACTTGAATATCTTTTTTGAATTGAAAAAATAAATGTATTATTTATCTATATTTTTGGTTTTTAAATCTATATCTAAAATTAATAAATAGAAAATATGATATATGCTGATTGGTTTTTGTTTTCAAAAATAGATATAGATGTAACGATACAGAGACATACAATCTCTACTACTTCTCTGTTAATGGTTTTGGTGATTTGAATTATTTTTATATTTTAAGAATCACAGATTATAATACTTTATGTGGATGAGGCATGTTGTGATTGTAATATGTGAATAAGACATGTAGTGATTGTGATATTCTAAAATTTCAAACTTTCTTACATTGATGAGACATACAGTGATTGTAATATTTTTTTAACTCATTGACTGTAATACTTTCTTCCTTTTTTTTTTGAAGAAGTGCACAAGTCGAATTATGTTGAAAATTTATAAAATTTTAAACCGCCAAACCAATTTGCATCCATCTGCCAAACCGCCAATCCGCTCAACCCACATTCGTCGGATTGGCGGACGGATGCAGATTGATTTTCTCCAATCTGCCAATCTGGCGGACGGATAGCGGATTGGAGGTTCCGTGGCCGCAACCGACCCGCCCTCACCCCTGATTGGCGTGTCTGCTTGTTAGAAGAAGAAGCCAACGTTGGCTGGGCTGGGCTTGACTTGGTTTGATTTGGTAGTCGAAAGAGCGAATTTTCGAATAAACTTTTCATCAAACACCCTGATTCAGAAGGCTGTCCATACTTCATAATATAACTAAAGTAAGGGCTGAAGTAAAGTATATTAAGGCCTCGTTTGGGAATAGACTAATTTAGTAACTTTTTGGCTATTTGGCTAAAATATGAGCTAAAAAAAACTAGTATGTTTGGGATGACTTTTTGACTTTTTACGAAAAGATGTGCAAAAAATAGAGAGAAAAGAGAATCTTTAACTTTTTAGTATGAATTGTTGACTTTTTGACTAAGTTATAATTTTTTTACTTTTTGACTAAAAAGAAAGATTCCCAAACGAGGCCTAATTTTCACTAGAAACATTTTTCAGAGGGCTGTGTACATACTTCATATGGCTAAGTGTGTAGATGGATAGCCAATTACTCGTACCAAAAAATGATTGGTGGATAATGGGCCTTGCGAGATTTGCATATTGAGCAGAGATCTAATAATGATCTGGTCTAGCCTATTTTGCCTCGAGCCAGGCTTGGTCCTTTTACAGGTGGGCTCCTAACCAAGTATCAAATTCTCAAAAAAAAAAAATTTCCCCTTTAAATTTTAGTGTAAACTACCATAACAAAGACTTATATATTCTAAAATTTACAAATAAAATGCAACAAATTGAGAATCCAATGCAATAAAGCGCATACCTGGGAGATTAAAATGTATACTTTGAGAATCATTTGTGCATACAAGAATATGTTTGTTTAATTATAAGGTACTAAATGTTACCCAATACGAAAAATAAGAAACATGATGAACAAATCAAAAAAATTTATTTAACGGACACATGATTACATAGTACACACCAAACTATGTGATAATATCTGGATGCTTTTGATTTTGTAGAACTTTCATGTGAAATTTTAAAAATAAACCAACTTCCATGTTTAAATATTGGAATTTTTTCTGTTTTTTGGAGACCCTTAAAACATGAATTATAAATTCATCTCCTTTTGGAAAGATGGATTTGGGACTTTTTTGGCTATTTTAACCATAAAAGATAAAATAAGTTGTTTTAGTTAAAAAAATAAAACATCACATATAACCCATAATCATTACACTCTTCTCTCACAAAAAAAGTCAAAAAAAAAAAAAGTCAAAAAGCTCTTCTCAAATTAAGCTTTTTAGCCCAAGCTAAAATAGTCAAAAAAGTCAAAATGTCAAAAAGTCAACTCACTTTCCAAATGAAAACCTAGATTATTTCATATTAGCTATTGGTTGCTTTAAAAATTAATCAAGACCTAATTCCCTCCTACACCATTAACACTGAATATAGGAATTGCTGTTTAACAAGTTATAGCATTTTTGTTAATTTAGACTGTATATGCTCCAGACGCCATTTAAACTCATATTTATGGTTCATAATTATTGGTCTAATTAGGTTTCGTTTGGAAAGTAATCACTTTGCTTGATTCTATTTTTTCAAAAATATTTTTAAAAAAATTTTGCTTTCTTATTTTTTGTATTTTTTTATTTTTACTGAATTTTTTTAATATTTAATTTTTTTTTTTTTTACTTTTTAGACATACCTAACATAAATATACCTAAAAAGTAAAAAAATTGTGAAAAAATCTTTTAAAAATTCACTAAATACCAAAAATACAAAAAAAAAAAAATACAGGAATTCAGTACATTTTTTGTGTTTTTATGCTTTTATTATTTTTTTAAAAATATTTTCTCATAAATTTTTTACTTTTTAGATACATCTAAGTAAGGTGCATCTAAAAAAATAAAAAAATATTTAAAATTTTAAAAATATTCACTAAAAACAAAAAAACACAAAAACTAAAAACTCAATTTCTAAAAAACTTAATTTAAAAAACTCAAATCAAACATACTGAATAGTTTTGTTTAAAAAGTAAAAGTTATTAAAAAAAATCAAAAAATCTATAACTTATATAAAAAAGTTAAAGATTTTATTTTCTTTCTATTCTTTGCCTATCTTTTCATAAAAAATTAAAAAGTTATTCTAAATATATAAATTTTTCTATCTCATATTTTAGTTAAAAAATTAAAAAATTATTAAAATAATCTGTTATTAAAAAGGCTTAGTCTAAAATATGATTTTTTTTTAAAAAAAAAATCTCTTAAATTTATGGTATGGACAAAAAATAGAATAAAGAGTTGTCCCCTTATCTAGCTACGTTGACTAGACGCAAGAGGCCCACGAAATAATTGGTACCAATGTTGTGAAATTCGGATTGGACCGGCCGGTCGAATCGGTTGGATCGTAAATCGGGCATTTTTTGGAGATTAAAATGTATACTTTGAGAATCATTTGTGCATACAAGAATATGTTTGTTTAATTATAAGGTACTAAATGTTACCCAATACGAAAAATAAGAAACATGATGAACAAATCAAAAAAATTTATTTAACGGACACATGATTACATAGTACACACCAAACTATGTGATAATATCTGGATGCTTTTGATTTTGTAGAACTTTCATGTGAAATTTTAAAAATAAACCAACTTCCATGTTTAAATATTGGAATTTTTTCTGTTTTTTGGAGACCCTTAAAACATGAATTATAAATTCATCTCCTTTTGGAAAGATGGATTTGGGACTTTTTTGGCTATTTTAACCATAAAAGATAAAATAAGTTGTTTTAGTTAAAAAAATAAAACATCACATATAACCCATAATCATTACACTCTTCTCTCACAAAAAAAGTCAAAAAAAAGGATTGGTTCCATGATTTAAACGGATTGGATCTATGTGGGATTCAATAAAATTATTTGAAACATATTGATTGGAGGGAGAATTGAAAATTTCATTTCCCTCCAAAATTAAACCTAACATTCAATGAATTTGTTTAGAGAGAATGTTTAAAAAATTTAATTTCTTTAAAACAAGTGACTTTTTTTTTATCAATTATGACTTTATTAAATATTATTAATAAATATTATACAATAATTTTATTTTTATTTACGTATTTATATATATTTTTATTTATTAATAATTTTTAATTATATTTTTAAATTATATAATATTAATTATAATGTGACGGTTCGATCCTTTTGAACCGACAATCAAACGGTCACCCGTCCACCCGATCCATTTTCTGATTCGCTCACCGCCCTGAAGACGTAAAACCAACGCCTTTGAGTCCATTGACTCCAAGGCCGTGTGTGCATAAGATGACCTGAACACAAGGTAATTGAAGGGAGAGCCATGTCTTCGAGATCGTTGATGCGTCGAATCTCTCCGTTCTTCGCTGCTGGGATTCGACAGCACCAGAGGCTCCTCAGCTCTTCTTCTTCTTCTTCTTCTGCTGCTGCTGCTGCTGACATGCCCGAACCTCAATCCTCGTCTCCATCTCTGTCTCCATCTCTTGATGTCGTTCACATTACCGACAATTGTGTCCAGGTTCTCTCTATATCTAAATATATACAACAATACTCATACACACATCGAAATATATGTGAATAGGGCTGAGCAAGTGATCCGTGAAATCCGTAATCCGATCCAGTCTAGTCCAATCCGATAGGTTTGTTTTATCCCAATCCGGTCCAATCCGGACCATGCTCACCTCTATATGTGAATATGTGTTTGGCTCTGGGAGAGTTCATTTAGTGCATATTTGTTTATCTATTTCAGTTCTATTGTGTTTTTCGTGGATCTCTATTTTATTTGGGAATTTCAAAAAAATGATTGACTGACAAAATCAAATGTGTATATACCAGATGTTCTTACTCATCTCCAAAGAGAGAGGTACCTTTGCTCATTTTTATGCATATTTGCGACCTCCACGTTTGAGATATGGCATTCCAATGGAAATAACAAAATTCATTATTTTAATTTTTATATATATATATAATTTTTTTTTGCCTATTTTGCCAATTTATGTTTGTGCTGTGAACAGTGTAATGGGCCCTAATAGCATTCTTGTAATAAAAATAATAAATTTGTCATGCAAGATAGAACATGTAAAAGCCGCTGCTGCGTTTGCAAGCAGATAGAAAATTTGGTTTCAAATTTGTTGTGTCCGTTGGAGTGCTATTTTGCCTATGTGGTATAACAACAAGCCTTTTGTTGTGTGGGTTGCTACGTGCTTTAGAGGTGGTCTTAGAGTTCTTATTTTGATGACAATGAAATATGCAAAAGATGTGTGAAGGGGACCATGAATAAAGAGGGAAAAACAAAGGGCAACTGCCACCCATAGCCACCACTACCTACCATCTCCCAATATATTTTTTGCCTTCTAGAAATTCAAGCAACCCATTTCTCTGCTCCATCACACAACCAATATATTTGAAAACATCCATCACACCACCACTGACTTTTGCTAACAACCTTGTTGCCATAGATTGTAAGTGGGATTTCCTTAAACACCTTATAGGCATCCCCTCAAAGCCAACACCACCCCATCTTTTCTCCTTCGGCTGCCACCACAACCATCAACTTTTTTCAACCTCAGGGAGACCATGACCATTGCATTTTCTTCAAACTTACCAAACCCCAAGTACACCATGGTCATGGCATCATTGTTGTCATTGTCCATTCGTCATTGCTTGTGGCCTGTCACACTCTCTGTAGTTGCCACTCTTTCTCCGCCTTCAACTAGGGTTAGGGTTTCAAATTAACGTAAGTTTTCAATGAAACCAACTGTAATTTGGATAATTATCAAGAGAGGACAATATAAATTGTCCTTTTTGTTTTTGGGAAAGGGGTAAAATCCTTATGCTATTTTTTTTGTTTGGGTAAATTACTTGGCACCCTTTGAGGTTTGCCTTTAACACAGATTCTTTTTGACCTTATGGAAATTACATTCCCCTTCCTTAGAACAACTCTAACTGGCTTTTCAAATAAGACTTGTTAGGTAAAATAGCTAGGCATTTTCTACAGCTCCAACAAGCTCTCTAAATGCTAAGTTAATTTACCTCCTTCATTTTTTGCTCTCTAAATTTATAGAGAGCCATTGAAGGCTATTCAAATCCCAAGAAATACTCCTCTTCTTTACCTTCATCTCGAACGTTGAAGTACCATACCATAAAATACTATCAATCATAAATTAGTTTGGATAGAGAGCTAGAGAGAGAGCAGTGTTGAGCATCTCCAATAGGATCTTTAAAAGAGGCCTATTGGCTAATTGTAACTGGCATCATCATATTTTACTCCCTCCAGTAAGCTAGCTACTACACTAGCTATTTAAACAAAACTCTTGCAGACTAGCTACATTTAGAGCAACTCCAATGCTACTTATCATTTTCACTAGGTAACTATGAAAATGGCATGCTCTTTATTTTACCTAACTAATTTTTCATCTATGTTCTCCAACGCTACTCTTTATTTTACATATTTATTCACACAAACTAGTTTAAAGAGCCTTCCAATGCTCAGCAAATGTAGCTAGCCTGCAAGAATCTTGTTAAAATAGCTATTGTACTAGCTAGCCGTTGGAGTGAGTAAAATAGCATGAAACTAGTTATAATAGCTAACAAGCCTCTTTTAAAGAGCCCCTTGGCGATGCTCACTTTGGGAAGCTCTTTAAACAATTTTTGTGGATAGATAGAAAAAAATAAAAAGTAGTGTTAAAGCACATAGATGGAAAAATGGTGAGGTAAAATAAAATGTGTACCTTTTTTGTACTTTAGCTAGTGAAAAATGAATAGTAGCATTGAAGTTGCTCTTAGTAGGTAAAGTGACTGGCTAAGATAATGATTTTATTTTTTTTTCTTGTTTCTTTTAGCTAGCAAAAGATGACTAGTAATGTTCTGGGCTTCATAAGTGCATTACAAAATGTCCCTCTGTTAATCAACTACTAGAAATACAAATGTCAGTAGTTAATATCATTATTTGTTAAAATATTATTGTTACCCCGTTGTTCTATGTCACTCCCTTTAGTTCATATCCTTTTGTCTCTCTATAAATCCACCATAGGCTGAACCACAAGTCCACAACCATGATGACCATCTCTTTTGCTCTATTTCCTTTCTCAATAACTCTCGTTAGAACCTTCTTAAAACCCTAAGCTCCCAAATCACAAGCTCCACTAAAACCATTGCCATACATGTTCAAAACATTGAGCTCCCGGCCCTTCATCACAACACCTCAACCACCTCGCTAGACCACCTCCTCCCTCCCTTCCTTCCATTATCATTTGTGCTGTATATGTAGAGTCTGCCACTGGGCTTGTTTGGCATGGAGCACTGCAGTACATAGAGAAAGGAAGACCATCACTAGGGAAAATGACAGTAGGGGTTGAAGGGGGAAGGTGGTTGTGGGAAGGGGGGAGGTGGTTGTGGGAGGTGAAGGTCGGTGAAAGTGGTTGTCAGGGATGGGAAGGGGAAAGTGGTGGTCGTTGTCGTGTAGTGGAAGGTGGTTGTGGATATAGTGGAGGTGGAAGGTTGGCTGTGGTAGTCGTGGATTGTGGGAGTGTGTGACAATGGTAGTAGGAGGTGGCAGTGGATGGTGGGAGGTGGAAGGTAGTGGACTTGGTGAGAAGGAATGATGGGAAAGATGAAGAGATAGAATTAAGGTCTAGTGAAACAAAAGATAAATGATAAAAGGGTAAAAAGGTAATTTAACCATTTATGTTAACCCCATCAAGGGGTGTCAATGTAGTTTTCAGAATGTGGGGGGGAATTTGTATTAAGAGCAATTCTCAGGCGGTATTTGTGTAATTTACTCATTTTGTTTCTGGATATGGTTTTGCATTACAAGTTGATGATGAAAATCTGTCCTCCTGCTCCATTTTTTATTTCTTTTTTCTTTTTGGCTTTTTGTGATTTCTATTCATGTCCTTTGATCAACAACATAGAGGGCATATTGTGAACTTGTAGATTAATTGCATTGAAATGATGGAGCTTGTATTCTTTAGATAAAACCATTATGATTGCATCCCATAGAGCTTACTTTAGAAATACCTTGCAGAAAATGAAAGAGCTGCAAGCTGATGAAGCCTCAGGAAAGGGAAAATTGCTACGGTTGAGCATAGAAGCTGGTGGATGTTCAGGGTTCCAATATACCTTCTCTCTTGATGACAAAACCAATGCGGATGACAGGTTTTCCTTAAATTTTCTCATTGGGTTCTTGTACTTGTCTGTTAAGAGGTGCTTCTATTAGGCTTGGGCTCAAAGCAAGCCATAGAATGTTTGTTTGAGCTGTGCTTGGCCTTTACTGGCAGGCTTGTGAGCTTTGTTTGATTAATGTAAAATCTGCCAATGGTCTTCTTATATTCTGCTTCTTGTCAGTTTCTAGTCGATGCAACTTAAATTATCAAATTGAGGCACAAAAAGTGAAAGCAAAGCAGTTAACGTAGTGGAAGCGAAAACAGAAAGAAGATCACCCTCTTCAATATGGGAAACCTAGAATCTACTAGGGGCTTTTGAGTCCACAAGGAACCTTGGTTTTACAAGGCTAAGAAATAGAGGAAATTCTCAATTTTAGTAAATAGGAATAATACTACATACAATTCGTCATTTCCTTTGATAGGCTATTTATAAGATCTATAAACTTAAAAAATGAGTTAAAACTTAAAAGGGGAATTTGGTCAAAGCCCCCCATAATAAAACTTTAATGCATCAACAACAAGCACAAAAAATTTTCTTTAAAAAGTCACTTAGAAAATATGAGGAATTCTCAATTTTAGTAAATAGGAATAATACTACACACAATTCGTCATTTCCTTTGATAGGCTATTTATAAGATCTATAAACTTAAAAAATGAGTTAAAACTTAAAAGGGGAATTTGGTCAAAGCCCCCCATAATAAAACTTTAATGCATCAACAACAAGCATAACACAAATTTCCAGCAAAGTCCAGCACACACCACTTGAAATTCTCAATTTTAGTAAATAGGAATAATACTACACACAATTCGTCATTTCCTTTGATAGGCTATTTATAAGATCTATAAACTTAAAAAATAAGTTAAAACTTAAAAGGGGAATTTGGTCAAAGCCCCCCATAATAAAACTTTAATGCATCAAGAACTAACATAAAAAAATTTCTTTAAAAAGTCCAGCACACACCACTATTACCAAAATATCCTTAGTAATTTAATATTTTAACTTTTAAAATAATATAACTTTTGATCTAGATGTCGTTTTTTAGCAAAATTAGTATGTTTATAATCCTCTCATCAAGATCTAGGTTGACTATGAAATTCTTAAAAAAAAAGAAAATTCGGTTGAAATTGACTTAAAAAGTAACATTTTACTTAGTTTGACAGTAATAATTTACTCTATTTCATAGTAAATTGCTACTGATTACCAGAGTAAGACTTTACTGTCGTCTTGAATAGGGTATCAGTAACAAAAAAACAGAGTATGAATTGAAGGAAGTTTTACGATTGCATCAAGAACTAGCATAAAAAAATTTCTTTAAAAAGTCCAGCACACACCACTATTACCAAAATATCCTTAGTAATTTAATATTTTAACTTTTAAAATAATATAACTTTTGATCTAGATGTCGTTTTTTAGCAAAATTAGTATGTTTATAATCCTCTCATCAAGATCTAGGTTGACTATGAAATTCTTAAAAAAAAAAAAAAATTCGGTTGAAATTGACTTAAAAAGTAACATTTTACTTAGTTTGACAGTAATAATTTACTCTATTTCATAGTAAATTGTTACTGATTACCAGAGTAAGACTTTACTGTCGTCTTGAATAGGGTATCAGTAACAAAAAAACAGAGTATGAATTGAAGGAAGTTTTATGATTTCTTTCACTACAAATTTACAAATAAATCAACAACAATCAACAAACAACAATTCAATAACAAATCAACAACAATTTAACATACCTGAAGGAAGCTCTACAAACAACAATCAACAACCAACAAACACAACAAATTCAACATAGCTAATCAAATTCAAACAATCATCAAACAAGTCAAACTCTGAAAATCTGATACAGTTGAATGAAACTCTGCAAACTGGAGGTGCCTTCATGTTTTGTACTGCAAGCATCACATAAGAAAATAGCTGGCTTTTGAAGAGAGATCAACTAATGTTTGTGACTTTTGTGCTCAATCCTTTGTTGAATACTATGCACTATTGAAGCACACTTCATGTCAACACCGAAATTGCATGGGATGCAATGGTAAATGATTCTGTTGCAATTTTCTAAGCAGACACCACAAAAGTAATCTTGGAAATTGGAAGGTGGGCTTGAAAGGAGAGGAAAGGGGTGTTGAGGATGAAAAGGATGAGTAATTTTGTTGGTAGTTCTACACAGATTTGATTCAAATCTGTGAGATATATATATCTGAGGGTAAGATTGTCCAGGAAAAAAAAATATTACTCTGTCCTTGTTGAAGTATACGCTTCCTCTCTAGGGGTTTATGAAGTGAAACAAATTGGGCTATCCTTTTCACCAAAAAGGGATCCAATGGAGGGGTTTTGGCCAAATTTCCCAACTTAAAACCTTCGTAAAGCTCTTCTAACCCGTATATTAACCTATAAAGACATCATGTTCACTATTGGAAAGCTAAATATTGCTAAAAATAAGAAAACAAAATCATATTCTTGAAAAAAAAAAAAAAATTGCAAATTATAATTTTTAACCCTTGCCATTTGTCCTACATCACGCCCCTCCACTTGGGAAAAACTTTTCCTCGAGTTTACATGTTGATGTTGGATCTTCCTCACCATAGAAATAGGTATTTGAATATGTAATTGCTTCGATTAGTTTTCAGTTGATCAACAAGTAATTTTGCTTTATGTTATTCTTCAATTGATTAGCAAGGCCGTAAGGTTTTACCTCTTCTTCAACTGAAATATCAATTGACAGACTAGCACATCTCGGTTCTTTTCCTTTGAATGTCCTCTTGAATATCTAATTCTTGAGATTCATTCTCAAAGTCTAATGCATGACAGTGACTATCACTGAAACAAGAAAGTAAAGGCAAATAAATTGTAGTTTTTTTCAATTACTTTTTTCATGTTTTCATAAATAAAAACAATAAAAAGTTTGAAAAATGCATCCATCATTTTCATTTTTGTGCAAAAACATTTTTTTCGAAAATTCGGAAAAACTGTTGTGTTTCTTAAAAGAGCGAGTTGTTTTTCCAAAAACTGTTTTTGAAAACACTTCGCCAAGTTTTTTTGTGTTTTTCGATAAATAAAAGCAAAATACAAAACATAATAGGCTCTAAATATCCTTCACTTTGTCCAGATACAATTACTCTCTCAACATATTGAATTCTTCTAAGACAAAATGTTTAGCATCCGTTCATACAATTACACTCTCAACATATTGAATTCTTCTAAGACAAAATGTTTAGCATCTGTTCTAGTGTTAGAATGTGAATTTAAATCAATGTCTGTAAAATCTCTATGCATATCTTCTTTTGTGTTGTTATGATAAATCTCTTTTACCATGACCTTCAATTGCTTCATATATTGGCCTATACTTCTTTTCCAAAACTTCTAAATAACTCAAGGCAAAAAAAATCTATCCACTGTTCTCTTTATCATTATTGGCCATGAACAAAAATGACTTTACCTTGTCTTACTCAAGGTTCTTATAAGCCAAACCACCAATACCATGGCAAGCACTCTTGTAACTTTGTATGATACCAGTTCAACTCTTTTTTCTTCTGGAACTTGCATATTATTAAGCAACAAGGCTAGAGACACAAAAAATTATCCCCTCTCGCATGGGGGGTTAGACAACACACCAAGGGGATGCCACCCAAATGGCTGAACAGAGTATGAGATAGATATTTCTATTATTGATCATGAAATCCAGGGCCATAAACCTTGAATTACATTATTGCTATCATATTATGTTAATGAGCCAGATGAGCCAAGCTTCTGCCCGTTTGTAGTGCTAATTTCTATTTTGATGTAACATAGTGAGTGTATCTTGCAATTTTTATTCTGTTGTTTTCTCCCTTACAATCATATCTACTGTGTAGAATTTTCGAGAGGGATGGAGTTAAATTGGTGGTCGATGAAATTTCCTTTGACTTTGTAAAAGGTGCAACTGTTGATTATGTTGAGGAGTTGATCCGCTCGGCTTTCCAGGTATGTCATTTTAACTTGTTAGGTGTGCATGCTTTATTATTTATGGATATCATAAATTATTGTCAGTATTGCATGTTGTCACTTGATCCCAGCTTGGTTTCCCATTGATGTGGATACTTATTTAACTGTGGTTTGATCATTTGAGAACCGTTCTTGAACTGATTGTCATCCAGGAGAACATAGCATAGACATGAGGCTAGCTCTTAGAAACCCTAGTTTCAGTTCATCATCCAGTGCAGTAGCTTCATTGTAGACATGGGATGTTTTCATCTTTAAGAACTTATCCATGGGTTGTAAATGATATGTATTAAGGGGGCCACATGTATGTTGGTCTTACCCCTATTTAGTGAACAAATACCTAGTTTTGAGACTTGAGTATGTGGTTATATAGTAATTTGTTGGATATTTTGAGGAATAAAGCAATATATAATATTAGACATTACAGGTTATTAGGTTGCAGACTTATAGGATATTCTTTATATAGGGTCAATGGTACCCTTCACATGTGAAGCGTAACAGAGTCTTTGAAGAGAAAGATAATGAAAGAGGAAATCCCACGTATCGATTGAGATGAAAGAACATGGGTGAACACAAAATCAATTGCTTTTCTAACTGAAAATCCCCTTGGCTTCCTCCATGTATTGAAGAGGGAAAGTGGCGGTCAGGGGAGCTACCTCCAAAAGTCTCTTTTACCCTTTCCGCTATAGAAAGATATACACATAAAGGAACCCTAAACCGTAATAGAGCTTCCCCAATCGAAAAGCCTGTAGGCTCACTTTTTTGTTATATCAAATCTGAGGAAGCATAACAAACTGGGGCTGACTGAATTGGCTAGAACCCTGGCACCTCACTAGGAGTTAATGCATGCATTTATAAAAGAATATAATAATTTTATATAATTTAGTACATTAATTGGGCTGCTTTCTTGATCTGTTTGGAATTTTTGTTTTTTACACACACACGCACAAAAAAAAAAAAAAAAAAAAAACTTTGAATTCCAAAAACAAATCTAAGTCACCAATATTAAAAAAAAAATTCCATGCCTTGTTTTCGAGATTAAGACAATTTTAAACTATCATCATCTAATGATTTTAGTTATTTGAAATTAAATAGAAAACCCAAACCATTTGCAGACATTTGAAATTGTTCAAACCTACTTTGAGAGAAGAAATTAATTGATCTACTATTTATATAAAATAATTAATTCTAAAAGATTCTTTGGGAGAGTTTGTTGTGTCATCATCAACATTTTCATTAAATTGTTTCTTTTACGAATTGCACATTTTTCGCGAAAAATAGACTCAATTTTCATTTCAGTTGCAATCTATTTAGATGAAATCATAGCAGATATAAATCTATTTTCTTTATATTGTTTGAAAAAAAGCAATTATTCTTTAGGAGTTTGTTGTCTCGTCATCAACATTTTCATCAAATTGTTTCCTTTGTGAATTACACATTTTTCATGAAAAATAGACTCAATTTTCATTTCAATTGCAATCTGTTTAGATGAAACCATAGCGGATATAAATCTATTTTCTTTATAGTGTTTGAAAAAATGCAATGAAACCTTAGTTGATCTATAGCAATGGTGCAACTTATTAATCTGCCAATAATTTTTTATTTTACTTTAGGAGTCTGTGCTAGTTTGTTTGATGCAGCTTATGCTTACAACTTGTGCGGCAGAAATAGCTTAAATAAGCTGATTATTTGGAAGTTGGGGGAGGGGAACTTTTAGGTTTCACTTTCTAATTATCAACTTTCAACTTGAGAAAAATTGCACCAAACAGGCCCAATATCAATGCACATGCCTTTTGATTATAAATGTTTACTAATTAAATTTGCATCAAATAATATATCATACCAAATAGTCGTACCAAACAAAACTCAAAATTTTTAGTCTCATATGTCGCTAAACAATAAGCTTCACTTCTCTTTTTAGGATCTTCATTAGTTTTTGTTAATTACAACCAAGCATCTCTTATTTGTGGAGCTTAAAATTTTATTACCTTAACACTTTCAATGTGACTTTACCAACGTGTTTGTGACAATGTGGGTGTTTGGGGTTTGGCTAAAAAGGTCAACTTTTGACTAAAAAAAGTAAAAAAATCACAAATTGTTTGTCATCAGCTAGAAAAATTGTTAGAATTCACTATCACCTACCACCACTACCAATTCACTATCACCTACCACCACTACCACCTCACCTACTCCACTAAACCTAACCCACTACACCACTATCACCATCCACTACACACCATCCACTACACCTACATCTATATAAGGAACCATTTGTAATAGACAGAAAAAATCAATATATCAATCAATAATACAATTCTCTATTTCTCTTTATACATCAATTTTAACAAAAATCAAAGGTGACATCAGCTTTTTTCACTCACAAAAAAAATCAAAAAAAAAAAAAAAATATTTTTAGCAACTTCCAAAACACATTTACGTTTTAAAAATCCAAAAAGCCACTAAAAAAGCCAATTCCAAACTTATCCAATGATTTATGAGTTTAAATTTGGTACATTATCGTTTTGTAGAAGAAGAAAATAATGAATATATAAATTGTACCACTCCAAAAAAAAAAAAAGAAAAAGAAAAGGTTTAGGACAAGAGTGAACCATATCGCCGAGTATTAGGTTTAGATTTAGACTATTTATGACAACCGCATGGTGTACAAAATGCTTTAGGATTTTCATCTAGAAGTTTTTTTGGTACTTCTTTGGTGTTTTCCTTTCAAGTAATTCAATTGTCATATCCTTGCCTTCATACATCATTAATATCAAGTTCAAGATTTTTTATTGCATCTGTAATTGTGTTAAAAAGACATTTTCATGTGGTATTGTGTAATTTTGGAAATTCAAAAAATATTATTCTATTTTTGGTGGATTTTTTTGAAACATTGACACATTGCAATATGAGTGTCATTTGTTCTTGATGATGTGCATTTGTGTACAATCAAACATAATGGAATAATATTTCACTTCTTTACTTTTTTTTTAAAATAATTTTGTTTCTTATTTCATTTGCTAACAAATTTATCAATTCATTTTGGATATTATGTGCAAGATAATGATTATGAAGTCCATCCTGTTAAATACATCGAATGTGTTCTTGCATTACCGGATCAAATTCTGCTATCATTTTTTCATTATTGTCTTGATCTCTGTTATCAGAATCTTACAATTGGCGATTTGATTCATGATTTGATTTGCATTTTTTGCAAAATCGATATAAATCTATGGATGAATCTATTTTAGAAGTGAATTGCACGATTTACAATCGATCCACGATTCAATTCACTTTTTACGATTCATGAAATTCTTGAAACTATCATATTCAACATATTTTTTTTACTCTTTTTTTTTTAAATTTTTAATTTTTTTTATAGTTAAAATGATATAATACAACTTCGAATAGTGTTTTGTACGATTTGTTGTTATTTTGGACATCAGAGAATTTTTAATAGGATCCAATCAGATTCAGTCAGATTCAATATATTTTTAACCTTTTCTTCTCATTTTTTTTTTAAAAAAAAAAATCATAATATATCTTCCAAAGATGTTCAAGGTTAAAGTAACTTGCAAAATGAATTATCTATTGCTGTTCTATTGAAATAAATATACTTCAATATTACATGGGTTAGGTTTGCAAGTTTTTTATTTTTAAAATTTTAAAAAAGCGCTTTTTAAAAGCATTTTTTTGAACAGTAAGCGTATATACCTTTTAAAATGTTTTAGATTTTAAAATATAAGATTTCAATTAATTATTTCTTATTATTGGGTCATTGCTACTTGTATAGGTTTGTATACTTATGAAATATCAATATTGGTGTTAAGTCATTGTTACTTCGAAATTGAAAATTTATCTTTGTTTACTTTTTTTATTAAGAATGGTTGATAAACAATATCTAAAAAATGAAAAGGTAAGATTGATAGTGATCTTACATGAAAACCTGTGTTAACTTCTTACCTATTAGATCACGTGATCATAGTTAAAAATAATATTTTTATTGGTTTAAGTCTAAATATTTTATATTTATAAGATATATTTACATCCAAGTGTGTAGATAAAAGTGACCGTATCTTTACAATTCACAATTCGGTACAAGGCCGTTTCGATTCACGATTCAATTCGTGATTTGACAAGTATGGTCTTGATATATTTTTTCATTTTCCCTTTGAAATGCCAAATTATTTTTACCAAGATTTTTTACAACAATGATAATTCGTAATATTACTTTTTCTAATGATCTTTCTCCCTATAAATTTTTTCTTGGACATTATATCAAGTGTTCTATTTTTCTAACAATTTTATTTTTAGATCAACCCAAACATTCATGTTAGTAATATGTTCATTAGTTGTTTCATGACTTTTAAGCTTAACACCAAGATTTCTCCAATCTTTTGTTCATTAGCTAGTTTACTTGTACTAGGACTCAAACTAAACAATTTACAACAAAATCAAATACTTCATACAAATTTTTTGAACAGACTAGCCGTTTTCTGTCATACTTCTCTCCATTTGATAATTTTCGAGTATAATGTGCAGTAAAAAAATGTTTAGAGAGTTCATCTTTGGGTAAATTTATTTCATAATCTCTAAATGGACACTTTTCGTCTAGTAAATCTCATCAATATTATTCCATTGACTTGGATCATAAATGTTTGAAGGGACATGATCACGCTTTTCATTAATATTTTGGTATTCTTTATCAAGAATTGGTGATCACAATGAAACACCAGTTTGTATAGCGAACAACCTAAGGCTATCACAAAGCTTGGACGACCAGTCTGATGTCATAGGTCAGACTTTTTGTGTAGATCTGAAGTTGTTCCAATGCTTAATATTGTTGCAGCTTGATGTCATTTTGCCTTGGTCTTTTATTATTGCTCTAATACCTTGTTAGTATAACAAAGATTTTGAAGAGAAGCCAATACAACCCTAGAGAGGTGGCTGATAGTCTTTCTATTTAATTAATGGAACCATCAAATAACAAAAACTACCCTTGCTAGTCTTACAACAGGATGTACTACTACTACATGTACGACTTATCAATAACCCGTAAACTATAATACTTATTATAACAAAATTGATCTTCCTTTATTAAATGCTAGGTTTACTTCGTCGAATCTTCAGGCTAATGTGCTTTGCAACAGATTAGATAGGTTTTTATTTTATGTTGGATGGTTAAATTTTCAGGTGTTGACATGAAGTGCTTCCTAGAGTAGCTTCTGGTGATTGGCAGTTTTCTTTTAGACTTGAAATTATATGGCTTGACCGTAAATTTTTAGGAGTTGTTTTGATGAATGGTGGGCCAGTTCCAGAGTTCAAATATGGGAAGGTTTTAAATTTATCAAGTAACTTAAAATGTTGAAAGACAAGATTAAGACGTGGAACAAATAGGCTTTTGGGGATTTGAGAGAGGTGAAAGGAGGAATTGCTCACGTTATTGATTAGTTGGATAGCATTGAAATCATGGAGGTCTTAATGAGTCTCTTAGAAAAGCAAGGATTGATCTTGAGATTAAACTCGAGTAAGTTATGTTTAGGGATCAAGTTTCTTGGAGTTAAAAGCCAAAGTTGAAGAAGTTCAAAGAAGGGGATAATAATTTGAAGTTTTTTCATAAGGTAGCAAAAGGAAGAAGTTCAGCAAGAGACTAGAAAATGATGTGGGTTGGGTTGTTTATAGATAAAGGAGGATCAAATAATTCATGAGCTTTTTTCATTTTATTCTAGGTTTATTCTTTGGGTGGAGTGAATAAGGGTTTTGGATTTTTCTCCAATTAATGGGAGTAAATCTTGTTGGTTGGTAAGGCTATTTAATGAAATGGAAATTAGGGAGGTAGTCTCTAATCAACTTCTAAGAACTCTTTATCTTATGCATTTAGGCGTAAACCTTGAACAAATAGTATGGGCTTGTTTGGTTTGTTTTTGGGAGAGTTGTTTTTGAAAAAAAATTTGGGGAGAGTTTAGAAATTTTTTTGGTTTGTTTGATTGTATATTTTGAGAGAGTTGTTTTTTTGGGAGTTTGGGATGATTTGATATTTTGGGAGAATTTGAGTAGACGTGTGTAAGAGAAAAAGTGATTGAGAAGGAGGGAGGAGAGAGAAAAAGTGATTGATTGATGTGTAAGAGAGAGAAAGTGATTTTGGAAATTTTTTGAGAAAAACTCGAACCAAACAATTTTTTAGAAATTTTTTTTCTAAAACTCATCTCCCAAATGCAAGCCAAACATACCCTATATTTTCCCAAAGTAGCACAACCCGGTAACTGCTAATGTAGAATTGAATCACACGAGGGATTAGAGAAGTTTAAAAGAAAACCAAAAAGCTAAAAGTATTTATATATATTTTTAATATATTACATAAATATATAATAAATTTATACGTATTATTTTTGGGGTTGGGCAGGGCCGAGCTGGATCACATACTTAAATCCGAAGCCCAATCTATTTATTAAACGGTCTTAAAATATTGGCCCAACCCGGCCACGGGCCAAAACTCCCTTCCCAAGCCCTAACAAAAATAGGGTTGGGTTGGGCGGGCTGGCGGGACAACGCCCTCCCCTATTTCCGCGTCATTTAAAAAAAGAAAAAGAAAAAGAAGAAAAAGAAAAAACAAGTATGACTTGCCCTTCACTTTGTGAGCTCTCCTATGGTGGATTATCAAACAATTACTTTGTTTTTTGTTTTTTTTTTTCAAATACAAACTTTACAATGGCATTTTTTTAATTTTTTTTTTCTTCTAAGGACTCTAATAAAATAAATGCCTAAAACTAAAACCTTATTATTGTTGCATAAAATAGTACTTCTTGACTAAAATACTTTTGTTGTTCTTTATTTAATGAGCTAGATGTCCATTATTCTTGTTCTTATGTTATATCTTTCTTGGAGGATTATAATGATTAGTATGAATTTCACTTTACCTCCTTGTGGTTTGGTCCATGTGCGGATCTCCCCCCTCTCATTCGGAAATAACCTCATAGTTCCCTAAGGTTTGTGGACCAAAATGCATTGTTAAATTTTCCATTCAAATTATTATGCTGTGACAGTGACGCACCGATTTGGAGAGTAAACCATTATTTAAGACATAAATACCCCTTGTATATCTTCAAATTTACCAAAAAATGCCATTATTGTTCTTCTATTTTCCTTTCTGCTTTTCTCTTTAACATCCCCATACCTCGTTAGTCCCCTCAACCCACCATGCAAGTCCCTCCGGCATCCAATAGCAACCCAGCTATCCCTGCCACTGTCACTCACCTGGTCTTCTCTCTCTTGTTGCCCCTTCTGCAACTGTGATTAGTAGACCGTTGTGATGCAACATCTATTGTATGGTTAAACAAGTACGATAGGCTGTGGAAGCCCAACATGAAGGGTCTTATGATCATCAAGAAGCCTTTTTGGTCGAGAAGTGTCTATGGTAGTGTCTAGTAGTTAAGGGTATTATAGTAATTTCAATTTTGTTGGACATGGGTTGTAGGTTGCCCATGGGTTTTATTTTGGATCAAGTTATTAAATGGGTCATTATATATGGGTTTTATTATGTCCAAGATAATTTTAGTGGTCAAAAGTCAAAATTTTCTATTTTGATATTAAAGTAGAATTAAAAGTCGTTAAAGTTTCTTATTATGATTGAAGTAGAATTGGAAGTCGTAGTTGGTCTAGAATCTCTCTCTCTCTCTCTCCCTCCCCTTATCAAGGTTATTGTTCACGTTACTGTTCATAGTGCTTAGAGGCCCCTAAACACTTGTGTTTTCGTTCCCAAAACCCTACCCTTTTACAAAACCTTAAACTCCTTTTTTTCTGAATACTTTTGCAGCTATAAACTTCCGCCAAATCCAGCCCTATAAGTCTATTGTTGCTGCTGCCAATATACTTAACCCGGGCTCACTACTTGTAGGAAAGTAATCCCTACTCGTCCTACATCGCGTTGTTTTTGCTCTCCACTGCTCAATCTTGAGTCTTGACTAATGTGAACCCACATTTTATCTTGTGAATGAATTTGGTTTTGCGGATAGAATTTTGTTCTGTTATATATGTGTATGTGTGTATGTATGTATGTATATATGTATATAAGAGATTAATAAAAGATAATTCTTCACTGGTTGTTTGCTTTGCATTGCCATATTTGAAAACATTAGGTTCCAGACTGTCCAAGACCTCACAGCAACAAATGCCTTGTGAAAACAATTTTTTGTTTTGATTTTTCTGTTCTTATCAATCTTTGTCAAGTGGGTTTTGGGTTTGCAAACAAAAATTGAGTGTAGTACCTCCAATTTTTGTTCACTGACTGCAGCAGAGACAATCCAAGAGGTTTCAAACCCAGTTTGAGGTTAAATGTCTAGTGGCAGTGGCTTATTATAATTACAGTGCATATGTCAAACCTTTTGGTGAAAAACCCAGTGGCTTATTAATCTAATTTACAAGTGAAATCAAAATCCAAATGCATTATTTGAGATGTTTGGATTTTTAATGAAGGTATTTGTTGAGTATTTAATACTAGATACATATATATATATATGTACATACATGTATATATATAGGTTTAAAGAAAGAAGACAAGGCTATTTTAGCAGTTTTTTAGGTGTTGTTAAGGCAAGTCAGTAGTGCACTTTGGTCCACAAACCTGAGGAGGCTATGTGCATGGACCAAATCACAAGGGGATAAAGTGAAATTGCCCTAATAATTAAGTCTCAGTTCAAGAAAATTTAATTCCCAGTTATTAGAAAATTTGATTCCCACATTGGGTATGTGTAGCCTTGTTGCTCCTCCAAAGTTTGCCCTTCGGGTCTCTGGGTTTTGGACTTCTTTTACCCTGGGTGTGGTTGGGGGTGTGTCATTGACATGTGATAATAACAATATTAATAATTTAAAAATAAAATAAAACAGATGATGCACCTTACCGTTACATGGCTTTAAACCAAAGTCGTTTTCTTTCTTTTCTGAGTGCTAATGAAAATTTTGTTTAATGCGCAGGTATCTACGAATCCAAGTGCAGTGGGTGGTTGCAGCTGTAAAAGCTCTTTCATGGTAAAATAATAGTTTTGTGGGATACGAGTACCAAGTACCTGCTCTATTTATCAGCACGACAAGGTGAACATATCGTCAAACATTTTGGCTGCAATGGAGCACGCGTCTAGATAGTCTGTTAATATTGCAAAAATTTTGATCTTAGTTTCAATTAGGGATAGTTTGGGATGTTGCTATTGAGTGTGGCATAATACATCTAACCAATTTTCCCCTTGGTACAGACTACAATCCCTTGTGTTAATTGGCTGTCTACTGTATTGTTGATTGTGCTAAATTTTTGGTGAGAGAGTCGTATGGTTGAAGAATATCCACTTTTCAGTTAGTTTTTTATTTGTAATTTTTTTTTTCCTCTTGGAGAGTTATTATCAGAAAATGAGGGTTTGGAACATTGTAATTGAATTAAAATAGATTCTACTGAACTCGTATAAAATCAATTATTTTTTTGGGAGATTGGTAACCTCCCTAAGAGCATGTTTGCTGTAGTTATGCTTTTAATTAGCAACTTTGAACATGATTGTATATTTTTTATCGCTTGTACTTTTATTAAAAGAGAAATGTTTGAGGGCCACAATTTTGTGGCCACAATGGCTCAAAACTGCCAAAACGACGTCGTTTTGGGTGCAAAACATGCCAAAACGACGTCGTTTTGGCAGTTTTGAGCCATTGTGACCACAAAAATTGTGAGCCTCTAGCATTGTTGTTATTAAAAATATACAATCATTTTAGGCAAACCATTATATAAAGCCAACTTGTGACTCTATTGAAGGTGGGCAAGAAACAAGTTTTCCACAATAATTAAAAAAAAAAATAAAATAAAGAAAAAGAAAATGCCTTGCGAACTAACAATTTTCTTACTTGTTCATTTGTCCTACAATAATGATGCTTTGGAAACTGAAGTGAATCTCACTTCACTTCAATGATAGGATAGGTGCTAAGGTAAAACTCACTTCACTTCAATTGTTTTTTAAAACATTGTTTGTTTGTTTATATGACAATGGTGAAAATAAAAATAAAAAATCGAACAGAACATTAAAGGTACGCTTGCTTTGACGTAAAATATTTTACATAAAAAATATTTTTCTTGTAAATTGATTTTACACTGAAAAAATATTTTTGCTTTTGTTTTTTGGTGTTTGGTTGACACTTGAAAGAAATTTTTTTTTATTACTTTAAAGAGAAATTTTGATTTAATAAAGTGTCATTTATGATTTTTTAATGTGATAAGATATTTATTTGAAAATGTAGAGTGAGAATTAACTTTATAAAAATTAACTTACAGAATTTTTAAAGGTAAATCATTTATGAGAAAATGATGCAAAAATGTTTTTTTTTTAAAAACATGTTTTACTTGCTTTTGTTCAACTAATCAATAAAAAATGAGTAAAATAACGTCAAAATAAACGGAGCTTAACAATCAAACTAGTCAGGGTTCAAGCCATTGCCACTGTCTATCTACTTAATAAATAAATAAAAATCAAGAAATTAAAAAAAAAAGAAAGGGTTAAAGCCAACTTGCACTCTTGTTTCAGTAGAGCTCATTTTGATGATTGGAGCCAACAAACCATCTCGCAGAGTTGCTTGCAGGAATACAAAGCACAATCCAGAGGGTAAGGCCCAACTGTGGCCTCCAAACTCCAAGAAGGATGATCAGACACTTGTGCATTATTCTACTTATGGAATGATTTTTTTCATTAATAATTTTCATTTGTAATATATTTTTCATCATTTTTTGAAAGATAAAATACACTTATAGTCCATAGATTTGCATTTCGTGTCACTCTGATCATTCAAATTTTAATTTAGTCAATTTTATTGCTGCATTTTTTAATTTGAGTCAAATTGATCCAATTCCAAACAAATACTTAAATTGTAAATAAAATAATTATAAATTTCGATTGTGATCCCTAATGAATTGTCATTTTAATTTTAAAGTTTCAATAGTAAATGAACCGTTTACACCCCTAAAAATCGTGTCAAACGAACCAAAGGAAACACCATCAACTGACACTCATTTCTCCATTTTGTATTGAGTAATGCTACATTTAACTGTGTTTTTGTATCATATTTTTAGTTTACCATGTAATATGTCATCACTATATCGGTAACAAACATGAATTGTGGTGTACATATTCAACCAATATATTTATGACAAAATAAGATGGAAAACCAATATGGTATATAGACATGGTCATCGTAGCATTACTCCTTTTTACTTTCTTTGCTTAATGGAAATAATATCAACCGTGTAAATTCTCTCAACTTGAGATAGCAGTTAGGCTTAGTTAGTCCGTTTTGGAACTGCCTTTGGTCATCAAAACCGTTTATTTTTTAGAATTCATTGAGTAAAATATTTATGCAAAAAAATTAAGATAATCGAATATGGTTAATTTTTATGCTTGAATTTATTGGTCTTAAGAATGGACGACAAATAGCTATCAATATTTTGTAATACAAATGTTATTCAAATATATAACTATTAGTAGTTGATCATTTTAATTTTTTATATAAATATTCTACTCAATAAATCTTATGAAGTAAATAGTTTAAATTATCGAAGTCGTTGCAAAAATGGTCCACCAAATTCAAATTGTTCTTTCAAGTTAGAAGGCCAATTTGTGAGAATCCACAACCTAATATCAAACCTCCATACGATGTAATTTCCTGAAAGTAAGGCCAATTTGTGAGAATCCACAACCTAATATCAAACCTCCATACGATGTAATTTCCTGAAAGTCAGGCATATGTATGTATTAGTAACAAGCCTTGTGGGAGGTCATTGTAATTCATCTAAAAGTAAAGGGAGAAAGGTAAATAAATATGAACCGAGCCAAACTGGGGTTAAATTTAAAAACACTTACCAATCAGTCCTGTTAACTAAATATATTTAATTACAATCATTATAAATTTATTTATATTCTTAAAAATAAGAAACATTGATAAATTTATCCAGAATAAATTTATGAATAGGAGTTTGGTTTTCCAAACTTCTTCTACACTTTTTTCCCTCTTTGCTTTGTATTGATCACCATCTATTGAAGATGAATTGATTTTATCTTGCGACAATGCTACGTAGCTCAAATTTTGTGGCTCAAAAGTGGCTCAAATGGCCAAAACGACGTCGTTTTGGCCATTTTTATGTTGTTCTGTACTCAAAACGACGTCGTTTTGGCCATTTGAGCCACTTTTGAGCCACAAAATTTGAGCTACGTAGCATTGTCGCAAGATAAAATCAATTCATCTTCAATAGATGGTGATCAATACAAAGCAAAGAGGGAAAAAAGTGTAGAAGAAGTTTGGAAAACCAAACTCCTATTCATAAATTTATTCTGGATAAATTTATCAATGTTTCTTATTTTTAAGAATATAAATAAATTTATAATGATTGTAATTAAATATATTTAGTTAAATTGGAAAGTGTTTCTAAATTTAACCAGTTTGGCTCAGTTCATATTTATTTACCTTTCTCCCTTTACTTTTAGATGAATTACAATGACCTCCCACAAGGCTTGTTACTAATACATACATATGCCTGACTTTCAGGAAATTACATCGTGTGGAGGTTTGATATTAGGTTGTGGATTCTCACAAATTGGCCTTACTTTCAGGAAATTACATCGTATGGAGGTTTGATATTAGGTTGTGGATTCTCACAAATTGGCCTTCTAACTTGAAAGAACAATTTGAATTTGGTGGACCATTTTTGCAACCGACTTCGATAATTTAAACTATTCACTTCATAAGATTTATTGAGTAGAATATTTATATAAAAAATTAAAATGATCAACTACTAATAGTTATATATTTGAATAACATTTGTATTACAAAATATTGATAGCTATTTGTCGTCCATTCTTAAGACCAATAAATTCAAACATAAAAATTAACCATATTCGATTATCTTAATTTTTTTGCATAAATATTTTACTCAATGAATTCTAAAAAATAAACGGTTTTGATGACCAAAGGCAGTTCCAAAACGGACTAACTAAGCCTAACTGCTATCTCAAGTTGAGAGAATTTACACGGTTGATATTATTTCCATTAAGCAAAGAAAGTAAAAAGGAGTAATGCTACGATGACCATGTCTATATACCATATTGGTTTTCCATCTTATTTTGTCATAAATATATTGGTTGAATATGTACACCACAATTCATGTTTGTTACCGATATAGTGATGACATATTACATGGTAAACTAAAAATATGATACAAAAACATAGTTAAATGTAGCATTACTCAATACAAAATGGAGAAATGAGTGTCAGTTGATGGTGTTTCCTTTGGTTCGTTTGACACGATTTTTTAGGGGTGTGTAAGAGGAGCTAATTTAAGCCCATTAAATTATTTAGGCCCAATAGCCCAAGATTAGTGGACCCGAATTTATCACAAGTCCAAGATGGGTGGGCTTGGATTTATCGCCGTCAAACGGGCTGAATGGCTCTAAGCCTCGAAAGGGTTCGGATCCACGAACCTAGAGACTTACTCGGGCCCGGACTCGAAAGGGTATTAAGCAAGCCTAGAGATCCGAGGCACTCGGACTCGAAAGGATTCGGATCCACGAATCTAGAGATCCGAAGTACTTGGCTTCGAACGGATTCAGACGCAATCTAGAAGTCGCTCCGTTAATGAGTCCCAGAACACTTGCGGGCTCGGAGCTTTCCGGGATCTACGCACCAGAACCATGGGCGTAATGGAGTCCGAACAAAGGACCCGATCCCGAGGACGGTGAGTGCAGATAAATTCACTCTTCGGTTACACTAGCCTATACCCGGGTCGAGGTGGCACGACCCCGGGGGGTCCATGAGACTCGGCAATATTTTGCGGCAGGACGTCCTCTGGGACTACCCCTGACCCTTTGGGATGATCGGGGATCATTGGTTAGGTGTGGCTAAGAAGAAGGGTTCGCCGAGGGAGTGATCTCCTCTTCGGGGTTTTCTCATCCTCGGAGAAGTCACCTCCTCGGAGAGGTCACCCCCTCGGACAAGGTGGTTAGAGAAAATATCCCCCATGTGCCTTGCACATGGGCTCCATCCTACATCATGAGGTGCCTATAAATAGCACCCACCCATAGCTTTACAAGGGATGGATTTTGGAGATTTTTAACTCTTGGGAAAGAACTAATTTCCCTTCTCCATTATCAACCTTGAGAGTGAAAGTGGGAGATCCCTGGGAGAGCCTTGCCATTATTCTCTCTCTAGCCATTTTGCCTTCTTCTTCACCCAATCTCTTATCTCCATCATCTCCTTGAACCACTGAATCTGCCTTCTTCTTGCCATTATCTCCATCACCCTCACTTACGGCTGAAATAGATAGGTAATCATTTCCTTTGTCTACCACACCCCCTTTCCTTACAGGCTACTCCCTTATCACTATGTACTACACCATCATGGATTTCCAGGTCACCCTCGGCACCTGCCACATCATTTCCTTCTTCCTCCCTTCCTTTGTGATTCTTTGAGCTTCCGTCTTC